CAAGTCTAGCCCTGGCACCAATGTGCTGAGGACAGGACATAAGTGACAGGTGAGCTCTGGGTCCCTGGACACATGGCCTGCCATTCCACCTGCATGGGACAGCCAGGGTGGGAGATGTCGGGAGCCTTGAAGTCTTACCGTGTCAGAAGGTTGGTGATCTGCAGGGCCAGTGCAGCCCGGTAGCGATCTTCCCCCTGAACCAAGTAGCGTACCTCGTCGTGGATGCTGATGCAGAAGCGCCCATTGATGCTGAACTCCTCAAAGAGCCATTTCATGGAGACCAGCAGGAGGTGGAGGTAGTCCACAGCTGAGCTCTGCACCACCCAGTTCACTCTGCTGGTCATAAACTGGAGGGAACAAAACAGACCAGATGCTACAGGAGGCTCATGGGGTTCATCCCTACCACAGGTGCCCTCCTGGGACCTGCCCCTGCAGGGTCACCTCCACCATGAAACAGGAACAGATGCCAGGAAGGACTTCACGACTGAGGCAGCATTTGGGGGCACACAACCCAGTTTAAAAATGAGATGCTCACACCAAAGCATGACCTCAGAGAGAAAGGGATTTGCTGTCCAATCCCAGACAGGAAAGGCCCCGTCACTCACTCCCTAGGCAGTTTTGTGGCCACTATAACAGCAGGCCGCAAATGCTGCAATCTCTTTCCTCCCTTCCTATTCTCTCATGAGCCCTGCCCTGCTAGAGGCCGGCCCTGTAACAGGTGCACGTTCCCAGAATGCTTTTCTAGGGACTGGCCCTTTAAATATAGCAGACACCTGAAGCTACAGCCCCAAAGATGCTATTTTGCAGTTGTTGCTGCCTCCATCTCCCTGCTGGTGAGTGATTTTTTCTTATTCTTGGGAATCTGGGCCACTTGCAGGCCTCTCCAGAGCTAGTGTGGCTTAGCAGGCTGTGTTCCCTGCTAACAGTCAGTAGTTAAGAGTTTAGCCCCTTCTGCATACGCTACCCTGGTAAATGTGCTCTTCTGGGGAGATTCAACACCAGCTTCCCTGTGCCTATTCCAGGTGAAGGCTAAAAACATGCAGCACTTGCAGGAAGACCTGGGAAAGCACCACTGCCCTGGCCATCTTCCTGCTCAAGGAAGAGGTTGCACCTTTGCAAGCAGGGTAAGGTACTGCAGACTCCAGGAGTTGCCAAGGCTCAAACATACCCACACCTGTGACTTCACGTAAGTCTCTGGTGCAGGCAGAGGCACAACTGGACCGGTGTCTACCTTGCTGCTGCAGAGCTGCCTGGAGTGGGAAGGAAGTAAGACTGGATTCGGCCTCTATAAAATGAGGTTAGAGGAAGGATGCAGCACTCAGCTCAATAATAACTTGGTTACAGAAGCCTCAACTAGTTGGACTGTAGAGCAGTTACTGAGCATTGAGGGAAGAACCAAGACTTCAAATGGCTGAAACTTTTCTTTGCTGTAGCAGCTTCTTTTAGCAAAACTCCAGGACATCCCTGCCTGGCATCAAGCACCAGGACCGGCAGAAGCATGCTCAGCACTGGTTTGGCACAGGGAAGATTGCTGGGAGCTTGCTCCAAACCCTAGGTCAGGGGTGGCCAACCTGCAGCATGCATGGGGTGCACAACAGGAGCAAGGGAGATGGGCAGCAAAGCAGCAAATCATGCAGGAAGCAGCAAAAACATCAGAGCTGGCAGGGGAAGGGGATTGGTGTGGCACTTGGGGAAGATGTGAGCCTAACTTAAGGCACGCCTGACAAAAAAAGTTGGCCCTCACTGCCCTGGGTGAATACAGAGCAAGGTGTCTGCAGGATGATATTAACTGCTGCCAGCTGGTGATCAGCCAGACCTCTGGCCACAAGCACCTTGCAGAAGATGGAGCAGACTGCAGACCTTTAGCTGCATGGGTGGACCCCAATCCCAGCATGCGAGGGGCAGCAGGGTCTGCTGGGAGCTGCAGCGCTGTTCTGGAGAACACTGCAGGCTGGGCAGTGGGCAACTTACAGTTCAAAATGAGTAACGT